GAAAAGAAAAAAGGGAAGAATTATGGGCTTCTTTTAAAATTTAAGAATGTCTTATTTTTTTTCATAAGTAGTAAAATTTAAGAATACTCCACTTATTTCCTTGAGATCAAAGCCAACAGTAGGGCTGATACTTGGTGAATTTGAAGCCATTCAAGAATGTCAGCAATTCCTGACCAAACGGCTATGCTTATTTCGACACGTAAAGTATCGATGGCTGGAAAGCAGTGGGCCGCCATCTCTTTAAACGTCAGCCACCTCCTCCCTCCCCCATAAGGCCATAACGTTAACCTCACAAAGCCTTAATTGAAGCAGTCAATGATGGCAGCCCCTCTCTCACTCTCTTTCAAGTGTTTTGTGGCACAAAACAACATGCAAAGGTGCGAAATATCAAGACCCTCACGCTAGCTTATTGGTTGCTGTTTGGGGCAAGCAGTTTGGTTGGTCTTGGTTGGTTTGACATCCCTCTCATTTTCAACAGTAGTACATTATTCGATTTTCTCCAAGAAAAGAAAGGAAAGAAATAGGGACAGATATTTTCATGTGTGCCGTTTGGCAGGAGAAATTAAATGTGTGATTGAATGATTCTTGGCTGGTTGGTTCAACCGCTCCCACATTTTCAATGGTGCATTATTCGATTTTCTCCAAGGAAAGAAATAGGGGCAGATATTTTCATGTGTCTCCATTGGTAGGAGAAATTAATGTGATTAAATGATCAGTGCAACAACCATACAATAGTTTAGTTTATTCTTTATCAGTAATGCAACTAGAAAGGAAAAATCGCACAAATCGTCTCTCACACACGTCACCAATGCAAAAATTTAATACCTCTCGTGCGAAATCCCTAACATATAGTAAAAGTTACTCCCTCCGTCCCACTTTGATAGTCATGTTTCTTTTTTCACACAATTTAAGAAAAAATAGTTAACTTTGTTGGAAAAGTAAATTTAGATTGCTATTTTCCTAAAATACCCTCACATTAAATATGATACAATTTTTATGGGAACTTGAATTGATAGTAAAAAAAGAATCAACTCTCATTAAATATGATAAGTCTATAGTAACAACTACTTACATTAAATAAGGGTATTTTAGGAAAATTAAAATACAACTACATTCTTCAATTGGAAAGTGGACTATAATTTGGGGCAGATGAAAAAGGAATACAGGACTATTAAAGTGGGACGGAGGGAGTATCTTTTTTTTTCTTTTTTTGTCATCCGACGTCTTTTCTGGCCAATTTTAATCGGATCGTGGTGCTGGAGATGCACCACGTGTTCCAAATTTAAATGGCAAATCTTTTATTGTTATATTGACCTAAATGTAAAGAATCTATTTCTTCCATATTTGCTTTATTATTATTTACTTTAGGCCGTTTTCATATTATTAACTCTTATTAATAGTAGTGATGTGGCTCCATAGATATAATACACGCCAGGTTATTCAAGCATTTGCATTTCATATTTGGATCAACGCAATAAGTTTACTCTTTATTAAATATAAACTACGTGATGGATTCGCAACTCATTTCAGCCAAATTTGGCCTGAGAAGGTGTCGAAAGGCTAAAAAATCAGCATATTTTATACGTTAGAAATTAAAATCCCTCATTTTCATTTCAAGAGGCTAAAACATAACGGATGCATTAGTGCAAAAAACATGCAACCATAAAGATTGGAAAAAAATGCGTTAGCATAATAGTTCTAATACCTTCAATTTGGATTGCCTTTGCTTTTAGGGTCTGAATGTATCCTGGCTGGCTTGTTGCTTTCCTCGTTTTGGCAAAGCATCATTCTCATTCAATAGTTCGCTGAAAGGTGTACATAAGAAGTCCTGCATGTAACCAATTAATATCTCCCTCCTCAACTGTGGGTTCTGTTCTTCTACAGATTTTACTTCCCTTGTCGTGATTTGATGCATCCAATTCAAGGAATTGATTGCGTCTTCAAGTGCCCATAGTGATTCTGATTTCAAAGGAATGGTGATAATTTCAAAATTTGTTTTTCCCAAATTATCCCTGTTTAAGCAATGTGATATTTTTGCAAGTGGTTTAAACCTGAGCCTAACTCAACGGTCCAACTTCAGCGATATCTTCAACAAAGACTGCAATTCACTACACACCACACATTTTCCCGTAGCTTCCTTTTACATGTCGTATTTGAAGACATTTAGCGGTGACTTAGTAGTCTTTGAAATTAGTGAACCTTATTAATTTGTTACTTTGCTTCTTGGCTGAGACGCGCTTAATTTTTATGATTATACGTATGTTTGACACGTTTGCAAAGTATCATTATTGCTCGCAAATTATCACACAGCCACAAACAACCACTCTCTTGGTCTAGTTGGATCGGTATACTCACTAGCCCCTTTCACAGCCTTTTTAGGCTCCCCTCTCCCTAGATTAGGATAGAGTAGGTTATACAAATATATCGTTACTGACAAAAAAAAAAATAAACAAAATGTTAGACATGCAGCTGCAAAACACATTAAAATTCATCATATTATTTAAAGGTAAAGGTTAGAAAGCCTTATCAAGCAAGCAAAAAATTTTAGTGTGTATGTTTACTTGTTTATTTTAATAAATTTGAAATTATATTTAAAATTGATGACTTATTTAATTTTTCAACTAATTTCAGGCGGGTTTTTATTGAATCAAACTCCAGTCAGGCTCAAATAGAAATTAATAGAACATTGAGACTTAGACTTAAAGACTCTCTTTGTCTCAAATGCTTACATTTTATTCTACGTGAAAACTAAGCAAGAAATGAGGGAGCGAAATATCATTTTGTTTGTTGTTTAACTTGATAATCCTTTCCGGTCAAATTCCAAAACCATTTAGTCAAAAGCCAATGTTGTATTTTATTTATTTTTATAGTGCAGTTTATGTCAACACTTGATCAAGAAAAGATCGATAGGTTGGAAAGGTATCTATTCGGTAGATATTTGTGACTTTTTAAATGATTTCTACTCCAAATATCTGGTGGTTGTGGAGCACATACACTGATTTACATTAGACTAATCCTCATAATCTCTCACTCTCTCTCCATCTTTTTGATTGATTTAACTTGCAATTTGTGGCCGGCAATTACATCAAGTGGGGGAGCCTTTTGGTGTATGAATCCTTATATAATAGGGGTCTAGCAGCATGGGACACGATTATTAATGTTGATACGTTTTTTCAAACCACTAATTAACCACAGATTATGCATCAAAGTACGTGTTAAGACAACATAATCAAGAAATTGTGGACAAGGTTGAGAGGGGTTGTAACTTCCCCTACCACACATGCTTGTCATTTCATCAAGAATCTACACACACATAATAATAATCTACTGGATTTCGGTAGTAGCAGCGCATTTTTTTAAAACCAAGAAGGTTCCTATGGAGTACAATTAAAGGCCATGTTCACTTGATTAAGAGAAAAGGATAAAGGCAGAAAGAATCAAATGGACTGCTTTGTTATGTGGTGGGGATTTGTTTGTGTGTTTGGAATGAGTGGTTGTGGATGAGTGTGTTTTTGTGTGTGTGTGTGTGGCTCAAGTTAAATTTTGGTCCTTTTGGTGTATTTTCATCCTTCTCATCAACCCTTGAAGATATTATAGGATTGGGACGGTGAACTTGAAGGGATAGAATCCATTGAATGGTATGAGAAAGATGAGTCCAAATTAATCATGTTTGATAATGACTCAAGAACTATACTTTGTCTTGTGCATAGGCAACTTCCTTTGATAGCTATGATCATTCATACTTTGTTTCAGTCCTCAAGAATGGCTGTTCACTTCTTCCTTCAATAAAAACTTACCCACATTCCTCGATTACCTACTAGTTAAGGATTCACCATGCAATTGCTCAAAAGCAAGCATCCACAGTCAACAGTTAAATCATTTCTATTGACACTAACTGTGCTTTGTTTCGCTCAAGCAAGAGAACTATTATTGTAACTAGTGAATAACAAAAACATAAAGGGTTTTTCTATTTGATACTCGCTAGGTACTCATCAATGTATTTGAGTTACACTGAAATCTCTAATGAGAATTTACATCCGTCTTAACCATCTAATCATGTGTGATAATTAAATTAAATTAAATTTGAATTTGAAATCCAAATTTTGTATGTGTGTGTCATGTGTTCAAAAGTGGTAGTGTGTGCACTATCAATGTATATAAAACTAATTCTGTATTTAAACGTTTTCTATATTTAATTTTAGTTTTTTAAAAGAATTAATTTTTCCTACACTGACAGTGTATGCGTTATCAGGAGGTTTGTATGAATGATAACTATGTCATATTTAAATTTTAAATCTAATTTTTTCACATGTATTATTGATCTAATGGTGAGTGATAGTGTATACACTATTAGTGTATATAAGATATAATCTTCTTTAAAAAAAAATTAACAGATGAGACTCTCTAACTATTTACGTTGAAATGTCTATTATCAATTGATGCATTTGTTAGTTAGAATATTCAATTTCAATCACATAACACAAAGATAAATTTGTGGAAGAAAATGACCATAGCTATCATTCCAACTCTTGTGATATCTTCCATGTAATTAAAGTAAACATGACACAAAAGTGCTTTATAAACAGATAGACCATAGCTATCATTCTAAAGATTCTGCGATATGGCCTAAAATTGTTTAGACTAATAAAGACACCAAGTAAAGAGCCGAAAGGGGTTTTGGCTGTGTCAGAGATTAGGCTGCAATGAACGGGGAAACAAAGGCTCTTCAGAATTAATTAATGCATTATGACGTGCACGGTATGCTTAGAGATTATTCAAATAGATAAGATAAAGAAGGTAATTGTCACAGAAATTTATTCAACCAGTAGAGGAAAAGTTTCTTCTTCTATTGAAAATTCTAACGTGTTCATGCTATTGAAAATTCTTGAGCTCTTACACAGAGCTAAGAATCACCAGTATTGCACTAGTTGAGGCCAGGGGAAAAGAGGATAAAGGAGAAGCGAGAGAAGGAAAGAAATCATTTTGGGAACTGCAGAGAGACGGAAGAGTAAGGAAAATAAATTTCGAATGAAAATCCTATTCATTTCAGTACATTTTGATTTAACTCTTTTGGTTTTCCAAGTGAAACTTTTATTAAGTGTCAAGCCCATAACAAAGTGAAGAAATTCATGTAGATATACACAGTTAGTCTGTCACTTCTCCAAGTTCCCCAAGCCTCCTTATCAGAAAAGAGGGAAAAGAATTATCAAGTCACAGCTGAGCCAAGTTCTTTTAAGAGAGATTTATAGGTTTGCCGCAAAGTTGTTCCAACTCCTCCTCTAAGATATCCAACAGGTTTGCCTTTGTTCGTCGGTAAACCCAAGCTTGAGTATCTTGATCCCAATCAAATCTTGAAGGGCCGCTGCAAAAGGAAATCAAGTTTCTCATTAGCTCCCCTAAAGAAAACAACTTTGAGTCATTATTGAAGATCAAACCCACTGCAAGGAGTTACAGGCTTGGAATGATCTCTCCAAAAAGAACGAATATGAGGCATGAAAGGAAATGTAGACGAGGAAATTTATAGTGTAGTTTTTCTTACAGTAAACTAAAATTCAGATGCAAAGAGCTTGCAGTGATAGCTCAAAGTTAAATGGAATACAGAAACACTGTACTGTTATTTTTAGATAATAAGGTTTCCCTCCTCACCTGGGAAACCACTAGTGACCGAGGAAATGAAAAATTGAAAGAACAGTTGTCGGAAGTCCAAGAGCAACTATAGGGCACTGATGTCAAAAGTAACTTGTATGCCACAGTTGTTTAGGTAGCTTGAAGATAACGAAGATGCAGGTCATTCTCGTCGTTCCACAATGCAAACGCACGCGAGTGCACACACACGTCCGCACGCATGCACACACAGAGCGAGAGAGAGATAAAGAATATGCTGATACAGCACATACAAACAAAGACCAAAGTGACCGTTATACTTCAAGGTCTTACAACCAGCCCTTACCAAACATCCAGATTTGACAATTTACTTGAGTTTTTATCCTTATCCTATCAATCCAAAAGAGGAGTAAAATATGATTAGCAGCAAGAACTAACGGCAAGTCTCTGTCCATACACAAACAGAGGTCAAGACAAAATCACAGTCATTTCTCTCAAGTTCAGCTACTACCTTAAATTGTAATTTAAGAATATATATAGATCAGACACAACAGAGGCGACTGTTAACCATTACAATGAGGGGGCACTGTCAAGGACAAAAATCAAAATTCTAAAAGCTTTCTGGCGTGATTTTTGTCAAAATTGACTCCGGACAATTGCCAAGCTACCAATTTTGCACCCTACTGGTACCTGATCTGGCTACAAGTATTTACACCATGTCAATTACATTTCCTTTAATCTGGAATTCAAACCTTGCCGGTGACTTTTTCCAATATACCTATAAATTGCAACAGGGGCACAGGGATAGAGTACAAGTGGTACCTGACTGGAGATGACATCCAAATTTGTCTATTTGGTGTTTGTTTGTTTATGACATAGGTTCCCAAGTCGCCAAACTTCACCGTTAGAACCTCATTCTGCCAAACAGAGTAATATCATAAGTAACAATAAAGTTAAAAAGGAAATGCCACCAAAGGACTAATCATCACTTATTCTCACCCCATAATGTATGTAATAATAAAGTTAAAAAGAACATGCCACCAAAGGACTAATCATCACTTATTCTCACCCCATAATCTATGTAATAGTAAAGTTAAAAAGAACATGCCACCAAGGGACTAATCATCACTTATTCTCACCCCATAATCTATGTCATAACCATCAATATCAACGGAATCACCATATTCCTGCCATGAGACAAAGCCAATAAGCATAAATAAGCAAAGATCAATAGACCATGAGAGGAGTCCAATGGAATATACATCCAAAGAAAACTCTATTGAATAACAAGGTGAACACTCTGTGGTCATATAAGTAGACGACCATAATTCACAAACACAGGAAAAGAAACAAGACAGAAGCTACCTCTAACTTCTCTAATAGATCATGGATTGTTGAATTAGCCAACTTTTGATACTCATCTTCCTGCAACATAGAGCTGCACATCTGTTATTTTACTTTACTAACAACTTGGAACTAATCGTCAATAATAAGTTTATGCCGTTCAAAATACAACATAAACAATCACAACACTATTATAGAAGTTTCTTGAATATAACTACAGTTGACAGGACAAACAAGGGAGATTTAGACTTTTGGTTCCTCATGTTCTCGACTAATTTCAGTCAAGTTCCTCATAGCTCTTGTTCCCTGAAATGAAGGATACTTAAAACGTTTATTTTCAATTTTGATGCAGTTAGTTCCCTGTGTTCAAAAAAGTTGAAACTTCTACCATGGCCTCACGTGTCATTAATAAGCTTAATTTCAGAAACACAGGCTACCAGTAGCATCCATATTCAGAAAAAGGAATTGAATTGAGAAATATTCAGTATTCAAGGCAGAAAAGTGTTAAACGTAAAAAATCAAAGTTCCATTTCAGTGCACATTCTATTCTACTATACAAATTGAGCACCAGTCCCAACTCTCGATTTGGGATTAAAGGATGACATAATTTTTTCTTGGCTAGCACAAGATGTTTGTCAAAACTGTTAATCTCATAGGATTCTCAAGCATACTTCACAAATCAATCTTTTTGCAGACTACCCTGCAGGTCATCTGAGAAAATATCATTTCACGCGTAAAAGCCTTGTTCTCTGGCTATTAGTCATGTGACCATTTCTCCCTTCCTAAACATATTATCCACAAAATAGAAAATTAGAACAGCTGTATTTTCATAATCGACAACAATGACGACCACCACATCAGAATTATCAGTTGCAACTGGCAAGAATGATGTCCAGCTATAAAAACAAGAATGGTTTTTCTCTTGGTATCTGTTCCAGGGGGATTGAGCACACCCTGTAGTCAGGTACTTGTTTGATCACTCCAAAGAAACTTCAAGGTCAGTACTATTTAAAAAAAAAAATTTTTGATTATGCTTCAATTGACGAAACACTGCATCTTCTGTGCAAGGGAAACACAAACCGATAGTTCATTTGGATATCTATTAACTTTTCTCCCAAAATTTTCCTGTCCTAGTACTTTCTCTCACAGAACAACCATACACTTTCACCTTATTTTGCAAAGAGAGCAAAGCTCCCTTTGTACCTCAGACAGATAGAGCCTAGTGCAAACATTCTTCAGCTACCCTTTTCCCAGAGGTAACAAGATATAATCCCAATATACCAATTCAGGCAAAAAGAAAAACAAAATCTTTCCTTGTACCCATTTTTTTTCCCTTCAGTGTATCACTTTTTTCTAATTACAAAAATTTTGCAACAACCCCAGATAAGAAAATTAAGAACTGAACCAGTATATAAGAATAAAAGAGCAGTTAACATACTGGTAATCAATGGCGGCAGGGCCTTGAGATTTATCAATGAAGGAATTGGAACGTGAACAGAAGCTTCTACAATTGCTGCTATAGACAGAGGGTTTAGGGCCAAGAACACAGGGTTTAAGAAGGTGCAGAGAATTATTTGCCAAATAGGAAGATAAAAATGAGTTCTTTGTTGAAATTGATATCGATGTCAGAGATTTCCAAACTGAAAAGGGTCTTCTTCTCAATAACCATAGCTGCCTGAGAGAACCCATGTTGCTGATTTCTTGGTTAAGAGGAGCAAAGGTCTGACGATTTAACGAAGGCAGAAGCAGAAGAAGAGATTGGGTCGATGGCTGAATACCGACTGAATAGAGAAGGAGGAGTATGGGCTCCGTGCAAGCAAAGATAGCCCGTGGACTTGCCAAAATGCTTCAAGAGTTTTCTAACCAAATGTGAGCAATTAATATGATGGACCTCTGCCCATTCTTGTTTTCGTTATAATGGATTGGGCCATAGATTTTACTACAAATTTAAAATCCATGTTTTTTTTTTTGAATACAAAGAAGAGGCAAACTGCCTTTCAACATTGTACTAGACATGGAGTTGTAAGTTGTAACCCCTATTATATCAGCGCCTAACATTTCCCTTAGTCCTGTCGGTGGTTCTTCCATTAGTCCACCTGGCAGCTGTAGCTGTATTGCTTCCTTTGCCAACCAGTCTGCGCATCTATTTCCTTCCCTCCAGATATGTTGCAGCTTACATGACCATTCCCTGCTCATCATGCTTCTAATCTGCTTAACCAGGTTATGGTAAGGTGATGTGGCCACTGCATTTTCTATCATCTCCAATCCTACTTTTGAATCCGTCTCCACGATCACATCTCTGTAGCCTTTCCCCCAAGCCAGCTGCATTCCTTTAAGAATTCCCCATAGCTCAGCTGCTATATTGCTTGCATTCTCTATACTCTCTGTAAAACCTCCTAACCATATCCCTGTTTCATCCCTAATAAGCCCTCCTACTCCTGCTTTTCCCGGATTTCTTTTTGAGGTGCCATCCATATTGACTTTGACAACACCTTCAGGAGACGACATCCATCGTATAAGACACTCTTGTTTGGGAACTCTGCCTCTCCCATTAAAGAGTAGTTGCTTTGCCTGTTCTGCCATTTGCCTCGAAGTCGCTGAAGGGACCTCAAGGAGGTAATTCTCACCTTCAATAGCAAATTTGTTTCTAGCCCTCCAGGCGTGGTATATCATTATTTGGAAGGTCAGCTGCCACATCACTCTCTCCCCAGCTCCTATACCATCTTGCGTTAGGTTCCAGTCTACCCAATCCATTGTGTTTTTGCTGAAAAATTCCTCCCAGAAATGTGAGAACACCAAAGTCTTCCAAATGGGCTTTATCCAGCTACAGTCCCTAAGTGCATGAAGTGTAGTTTCGGTATGCTCCTTGCATATTGGACATTTATCATCCAGAGCCAGATGTCTTCATTTTTTCTCTCTTTGTGTGAGTAGTCTGCCATGTCTGACCAGCCATATTAGGAATTGCCACCTCTCTGGACCTTTCTGTTTCCAAATCCTCTCCTACCCTTTACTTCTCAGATCCAATTCTTCCTCTTCTAGTATGAGTTCATATGCTGAGGCTGACGTGAATTCCCCTCTTATTTCTGGGCTCCAAACCATTACATCTGGATTGTCCTCGCCTTGTTCCACACAGTAGCCTTTGAGTTTGGCTAATGTTTCTTGTGCTAGTACTCCTTCCAGCTCTTCCCATTTCCAACCTACCCCTGTCCTCCAGTATTCCTCTACCTTCCTTTCTAACACCTCTGGGTTCAACTCCACCTTAACTTTTTCAACTAGTGGTATATCTTTTAGCCGCCTATTTGTCCAAAAAAAAATAGAATTTCCGTTTCCGATCCTCCATTTCCTTCCTCGAACTGTAACTTTACTGCCTTCACATATGCTCTTCCAAGTATGGGATTCCCCTGCTTTTTTTTCAAAAAAATCTCCTTATCCTCCGTAATATTTCTCTTTCAAAACTTTCTTCCATAGTGCTTCATCTCTATCCATAAATCTCCAGCTTATTTTAGCTAGTAGTACCCTATTCACTTTACCTAGCCTTCGGATCCCTAGCCCTCATCTGGCTTTGGGTTGTGTTACCTTCTCCCACCATACATGGTGAATTTTCCTTTCATCCGGGCTGTTCCCCCAGAGAAACCCTCTAGCTATTTTCTCTATCTCCTCCACCACCAAATATGGGAGCAAGCTCGTTTGCATGGAGTAATTGGGAATTGCCGTAATTATTGACTTAATCAGCGTTGCTCGGCCTGCAAAAGACAGATTTTTCCTTTTCCATCCTGCCAAACTGCTCCTTACCTTATCTAGCATTCATGTGTAGGTCTCCTTGGTCACCCTTTTATGTGGAATTGGCATGCCCAAATATTTCCCAAGATCCTGTGTTTCTTTAACTCCTGTCAGTCTGCACATTTCCCTTACCACCTGCCGTGGGACATTTGAGGATGCGAACAGTTTTGATATACTCACATTCACTTTTTGTCCTGATAGAGTACAGAACTCCTGTAATATCTTCCCCACTTCCACTGCTTGTTCAACACTTGTCTCCGCAAAGAGAAAAAGGTCATCCACAAACATAAGATGAGTGATTTATGGCCCTAATCTTGATGCCTTTAGCCTTCTCCATCTCCTCTCACCAGCTGCTCTATTTATCATGTGGCTCAATCTTTCCATATATAGAATAAACAGGTAAGGGAAAATGGGATCCCCTTGCCAAATCCCTCTCTGTGGGGTGAACGGTTCTGATCTTTTCCCATTCCAAAGGATTTCCATGCTTTCCGCCTGCACACAATTCATAATTAAGGCTATCAAGTCTTGGGGGATTCCCACAAATTCTAGAGTTTGTTGTAAAAAATCCCATCTCACCCGGTCATAGGCTTTTTCAAAATCCACCTTTATTGAAACATAACCTTTCTTTCCTTTTTTCCTCTTCATCGTGTGGATCATTTCTTGAATGATTATGACATTATCTGTTGTATATCTTCCGGGACAAAAACTAGTTTGGTTTGGGCCAACCAAATCTTTTAGCAAGGGTCTCAGACGATTTACAATAATCTTAGTAATGACTTTGTAGCAAACATTGCACAAAGATATTGGTCTCAACTGAGCTACCATTTCAGGATGTGACACCTTAGGTGTCAAAGCAATATATGTACTATTCATTCTTATTGGGATTTTTTCTCTCTAAATACTTATTGAATGCACTTAATGAAAGAGCAACTTACTTGGTTCCAACATCTTTGATAAAAGCTCACAGGTATTCCATCTGGGCCTGGTGATTTATCTCCTTTTATCCCAAACAGTGCCCTTTAATCTCTTTTTCATCTACTTGTCTAATCAGTCTTCCTCTCTCTCTATTTGACAGGGTTGCGAAGCTATGAGATTGACTGACATTTCTATGATGGCTCTGTCGCTGTACAGGTCCTTAAAAAAATCCATCACAATGCTTCTCACCGTGTCAGGGTCCTCCTGCCACCTTCCTTGTCTATCCTTCAGACTCTGAATTGTGTTTTTCCGTCTGCGAATAACAGTTGACAGATGGAAAAATCTCGTATTCCCATCCCCGTATTTCAACCATTCAACCTTTGCCCTTTGATGCCACATAATTTCTTCTTGTTCCAGGATTGTATTGTACTTGACAATCAGCTCATTTTCAAGTTTTTGTAGGCGATTTGATGGCGCCCGTGAGAGGCTCCTTTGGATTCCATTGAGTCTCACCTGACATCTTTTCTTCCTCCTGAGCATGTTACCAAATATCTCCCTGTTCCAATTTTTGATTGTTTCCATAAAGCTCTTCACATTCTCCAACAAATCCACATTATTATTCCAACTTTGCTCCACTTGAGTATAGAAATCATAGTGAGTATACTAGGCATTCTCTTCCCGAAATGGACTACTACCCCTCTGACCATCCTCCTTCTTAGTATTAACTCGTATCAGGTGATAATCCGAGTGGGTTCTTGTAAGGTGAGTAACACTAGCCTGTTGGTAATCCATGTTCCATATCCATTGCATAACACTCTATCCAGTCTTTTCCTAACATTGGCACCTCCTTCCCTGCAGTTATTCCACGTAAGAGCTGGACTGCTGAATCCCAAGTCAATCAGTTCACATTTTCGAATGCATTCAATTAAGCTATTCGAGTATTTCCCTACAAAGCATCGCCCCCTTCTCTTCTCAGTTGAGTCGACAACTTCATTAAAATCCCCTAACAATAGCCACGGAAATCTGACTTTCTACCCAAGTTCCTGTAGGTACTTCCACAACAGCTTCCTCAACTCTGCTTCAGGTGAAGCATATATTGCAGACATCAACTACTCTTTTCCATCTCTGTTTTTCACAACAACATTCATGATTTGCCAATTTGTGGATACTACTTCTAACTCTATCTCCCAATCATCCCAGAATATCTATATTCCTCTTGAAAATCCCCGTGCTTCAACAGAAGTCATCTGGTTAAATTTGAATCTCCGTAGAATCTTTCTACCTTTGTGACTATTGGTTCTCGTTTCTACTAGAATCAAGATCATAGGATCATTGTCCCTTATAATCTCCTTTAGATTTCTCCAGAATCGCCTATTCACAGCTCCTCTACAATTCTAGCATATTATTCTTGTATTCATATGGATTGATAATTTGCAGATGTTGGAGGGATGGGTTAAATCCCCTCCTCCATTTCGCCTATCGAGCTCCCTTGCTCGACACTTCCCCTTTCTGGAATAACCACCATCTTGTTGGTTTGGTTCTGTCCCCTAGTGTTTGTCCTTACAAGTGCCGGGAACTTGTAATTTGTTAGACGAAGCCCCTCTGTACCACAACTTTCACCTGGGTCCACATTCTCGGCCTTCTCTTGCTCCATTGTGTCTGTGGTTTTTGCCATCTGATACCAGCTTTCACTTCCTTTTCCCTACATACACTCCACCCCTTCCTTGTTTTCTACAGGGTTAATTGTATTACAGATTTCTACTTGGTTCTCTTTCCCCAAGGACTTACTAGCACGTTGTCCTGTCTCGCTCCTCCCTCCTATTTTAGCTCCTATTGCCTTTTGCTTTTTGAGGGCAAGAACTTCCACCTTTTTGTTTGCCCGTGAAATCTCCTTTCCTTGCCTGTTCATTGTTGATTTCGTTCCCTTAAACACTAGTCCATCAGGTGGGTTTGGTATAGTGTTAATGATATCTCTCAACACATCTCTTGAAGTTGCCTTCTCTTGTACTGGCCCCTCTGCTTCTATTTCATTTAGGGCCATGAATCTAGATCCTAAGCCAGTTCCCCAATT